AAGGCCTCGACCCCCCAGCTTCCCCCCCCCCCCCCCCAGGGCGGAGCCGCCACCCGCGCCGCCTCGCCCGCGGAAGGGCCGCCGGCCCCCCCCCCCCGGCAAGGTCGGAGCCGACGGGGGCGCCGGTGCCCCGGGGAAGGTGGCCGCGTCCTCTCCCTTACTGTAGTCCCCCAGGTGGGTGAGGGGGTAGAAGTAGATGGGGTAGAGGGCCAGCCCCACCGCGCTGGCGAAGCCGCCGAAGACGAGGATGTAACGAGCCAAGCGCCCCATCAGAACCGTGAGGGACAAGCAGCACCGGAACAGGAAGCCTACCTCCTTCCACTTCCGGTTCCTGCGTGGGTTTCCAGCGAGACGGCGCCCGAAGCCAATGCGACCGCGCGTGCTGCGCCCAGAGCGTCCGCGACCGACCCCTAGTGGCGGCTGCCGGGAACTAGCGAGGCTGAGCTTGGGAGAGCGGCGCGTGGCGGCGCTGCAAGGGGAAACGAGAAGCGGGCTCATCCGGATTTTTGCAATCCATATTTGCTAAAGGGCAGACTCTAACCGGATCTCCAAAGGCTCCACTAGAGTGTTTGAAGGTTATTTCAGGAACAAATGCCATCCACAACACCAGACACAACTAAGGGCAAATGATGCTTGTTGGCATCTGCTTGTATCAGATAGGAGAACCTTTAAAAATTGTTTCTGGAAAGAAAAACATCCCATATTACATGCGAGAAGGGAGGTGATTGCCAAAGCGCAGACTTTTAAAAGCGAGCATGTACTGTGCGATTGTACAGTACATGCTAGCTTTTAAAATAGTCTGCGCTTTGCGTCACCCCCTTTAACATTACATGCAAGTATCTCTTCTTCCCATAACCCGTCCCTTATCCATAAGCAAATCCATAAATCATTAGCATTTCAGTCCTAGTGTCAGCAAAAAGTCCATAAAGGGATCCAGATTGATACAAACGTCTTATTTTAACCTTGATCAAACCAACCAAAGATAATCTGCAAAAATTTAAACTTCTCATTATTTTTTGTATTTTTAAACTTCTCATTTTTTGTAAAAAAAAAAAAAAACGGTTTTTTTCACGAACAATATTTATGATAATATCTAGTGGATTTAATGTTGTTATTTTGACATGATTCAATAAGAGAAGATTCTACAGATGCATCGATTCCCATTTTTAATACAGGAAATACCGATCAATAGAACCCCTACACACAAAAGCACTTTTGGGGTCCTCCATAATTTTTAAAAGGGGGGAGGGGTCCCGAGAGCAAAAAGTTTAAGAAACACGGTGATAGTATTGGGAAGCTGGAGCAGTGGCTTTTTACAAGACTTTTTTCTTGGATGGTGTCAAGGCTGGCATTGATGAGCACTGATTGATTCTGAATGGGCCCCGCTACTAATCTCAGGTTCCTGCTTCTCCTCCTTGTTTTTCCCCATACATCTGCTACTTCTGACCAAACAAACAAGGAGGCAGAGAAGGAAGGGGAAGGAAATGCAACATGGCATGATGTGCCAAAATGATATCTGCTGTGATAATTCCCAGAGCCTGCTGATGTCTCTCTTGAAATAGCACTCGGCTCAAACAGTGCATTAAAATTTGCATTTGGGGAAGCTTAAAGAAGAAAAGAAAAGAAAAAAGGGAAGGGAAAGAAGGGAAGGGAAGGGAGGAGAGAGGAGGGGAGGGGAGGGGAGGGGAGGGGAG